AGGTTTCCGCAGGATTCCAGAGCAGCAGCCTCCTCTCCCATTTTCCCTGTTTTTCCCATTTTCCGGTTGTTTTTCCCAATTTCCCCCATTTTTCCGGTTGTTTTTCCCAATTTTCCCATTTTTCTCAGATTTTTCCCATTTTTCCGGTTGTTTCTCCCAGGTTTCGGCGGGATTCCAGAGCAGCAGCCTCCTCTCCCATTTTCCCTGTTTTCCCACCATTTTTCCCCTTGTTTTTCCCAATTTTTCCCATTTTCCAGTTGTTTTTCCCAATTTTTCCATTTTCCGGTTGTTTTTCCCATTTTTCCGGTTGTTTTTCCGGCTGTTTCTCCCAGGTTTCCGCAGGATTCCAGAGCAGCAGCCTCCTCTCCCATTTTCCCTGCTTTCCCACCATTTTTCCCTTTGTTTTTCCCATTTTTCCCGTTGTTTTTCCCAATTTTTCCCAATTTTCCCCATTTTTCCGGTTGTTTTTCCGGCTGTTTCTCCCAGGTTTTGGCGGGATTCCAGAGCAGCAGCCTCCTCTCCCATTTTCCCTGTTTTCCCACCATTTTTCCCCTTGTTTTTCCCAATTTTTCCCAATTTTCCCCATTTTTCCCATTGTTTTTCCCAATTTTCCCATTTTTCTCAGATTTTTCCCCATTGTTTTTCCGGTTGTTTCTCCCAGGTTTCGGCGGGATTCCAGAGCAGCAGCCTCCTCTCCCATTTTCCCTGTTTTCCCACCATTTTTCCCATTGTTTTTCCCAATTTTTCCCATTTTCCAGTTGTTTTTCCCATTTTTCCCGTTGTTTTTTCCGTTGTTTCTCCCAGGTTTCTGTAGGATTCCAGAGCAGCAGCCTCCTCACCGCTCTTTCACATTTTCCCTGTTTTTCTCACCGTTTCTCCCATTGTTTTTCCCAATTTTCCCAATTTTTCCCAATTTTTCCCAATTTTTCCCATTTTCCGGTTGTTTTTCCCAATTTTCCGGTTGTTTTTCCGGCTGTTTCTCCCAGTTTTCGGCGGGATTCCAGAGCAGCAGCCTCCTCTCCCATTTTCCCTGTTTTCCCACCATTTTCCCCCATGTTTTTCCCATTTTCCGGTTGTTTTTCCCAATTTTTCCCAATTTTCCCCATTTTTCCCGTTGTTTTTCCCAATTTTCCCATTTTTCTCAGATTTTTCCCATTTTTCCGGCTGTTTCTCCCAGGTTTCCGCGGGATTCCAGAGCAGCAGCCTCCTCACCGCTCTCCCCAGCGCCTTCCTGGACCGGCTCCTCTCGGCCGCGCTCCTGGAGGATCCCGAAATTCGAATTTTTGTCCTGGAAATTCTCTGCAGCTTCATCGATCGCCACGGCAACGGCCCCAGCTTCAGCCCCGCCAGGTACCCCCAAATCCCGGGAATTCAGCCCAAAAACTCATCCCAAAAATTCCCGCCGATTCAATCCTGGGAAAAATTCCCAAATTTTCCCAAATTCCTCAGCCTCCAAACCCGGGAATTTTTTTCCCCCTGGAATTTTTTTCCCCCTGGAATTCTTTTCCCCCTGGAATTTTTCCCCCCTGGAATTTTTTCCCCTGGAATTTTTTTTCCCCTGGAATTTTTTCCCCCGGGAATTTTTCCCCTCCAAGGATTTTCCCCAGGAATTTTTCCCCCTGGAATTATTTTCCCCCTGGAATTTTTTTCCCCCTGGAATTTTTTTTCCCCTGGAATTTTTTCCCCCTGGAATTTTTTTCCCCTGGAATTTTTTTCCCCCTGGAATTTTTTCTCCCTGGAATTTTTTTCCCCTGGAATTTTTTTCCCCCTGGAATTTTTTCTCCCTGGAATTATTTTTCCCCCTGGAATTTTTCCCCTCCAAGGATTTTCCCCAGGAATTTTTCCCCTGGAATTTTTCCCCTGGAATTTTTTTTCCCTGGAATTTTTTTCTCCCTGGAATTTTTTTCCCTGGAATTTTTTTTCTCCCTGGAATTTTTTTTCTCCCTGGAATTTTTTTCCCGTGGGAATTTTTTTCCCCTGGAATTTTTTTCCCCTGGAATTTTTTTTCCCCCTGGAATTTTTTCCCCCCTGGAATTTTTTTTCCCCCTGGAATTTTTTGTCCCCTGGAATTTTTTTCCCCTGTAATTATTTTCCCCCTGGAATTTTTTTCCCCCTGGAATTTTTTTCCCCCTGGAATTTTTTCCCCCTGGAATTTTTTTTCCCCTGGAATTTTTTCCCCCTGGAATTTTTTCCCCCTGGAATTTTTTCCCCCTGGAATTTTTTTCCCCTGGAATTTTTTTCCCCCTGGAATTTTTTCTCCCTGGATTTTTTTTCCTCCGGGATTTTTTTTCCCCAAGGATTTTTCCCCCTGGAATTTTTTTCCCCAGGAATTTTTCCCCCCGGGAATTTTTCCCCTCCAAGGATTTTCCCCAGGAATTTTTCCCCTGGAATTTTTTCCCCCTGGAATTTTTTTTCCCCCTGGAATTTTTTTCCCCCTGGAATTTTTTTCCCCCGGGAATTTTTTTTCCCCCTGGAATTTTTTTTCCCTGGAATTTTTTTCCCCTGGAATTTTTTTCCCCTGGAATTTTTTTTCCCCTGGAATTTCTTTTCCTGGAAATTTTTTCCCCTCAAGATTTTTTTTCCCAGGAATTTTTTTCCCAAGGATTTTCCCCCGGGATTTCTTTCCAGGATTTTTTTCCTCAAATATTTTTCCACCAGGAATTTTCCCCCAGGATTTTTTTTCCCAGGGATTTTCCTCTCCAGGAATTTTTTCCCAGGAATTTTTTCCCAAAGATTTTCCACCAGGAATTTTCTCCCCAGATTTTTCCCTCCAGGGAAATTTTTTCCCCCTGGAATTTTTTTTCCCTGGATTTTTTTTCCTCCGGGATTTTTTTTCCCCAAGGATTTTTCCCCCTGGAATTTTTTTCCCCAGGAATTTTTCCCCCCGGGAATTTTTCCCCTCCAAGGATTTTCCCCAGGAATTTTTCCCCTGGAATTATTTTCCCCCTGGAATTTTTTCCCCCTGGAATTTTTTCCCCCTGGAATTTTTTTTCCCCCTGGAATTTTTTTCCCCCTGGAATTTTTTCCCCCCTGGAATTTTTTCCCCCTGGAATTTTTTCCCCTGGAATTTTTTCCCCCTGGAATTTTTTTCCCCCTGGAATTTTTTTCCCCCTGGAATTTTTTCTCCCTGGAATTTTTTTCCCCCTGGAATTTTTTTCCCCCTGGAATTTTTTTTCCCCCTGGAATTTTTCCCCTCCAAGGATTTTCCCCAGGAATTTTTCCCCTGGAATTTTTTCCCCCTGGAATTTTTTTTCCCCCTGGAATTTTTTTTCCCCTGGAATTTTTTCTCCCTGGAATTTTTTTCCCCCTGGAATTTATTTTCCCCCCGGGAATTTTTCCCCCCATGGAATTTTTTTTCCCCCTGGAATTTTTTCTCCCTGGAATTTTTTTCCCCCTGGAATTATTTTCCCCCTGGAAATTTTTTCCCCTCAAGATTTTTTTCCCAGGAATTTTTTCCCCAAGGATTTTCCCCCGGGATTTCTTTCCAGGATTTTTTTCCCCAAATATTTTTCCACCAGGAATTTTCCCCCAGGATTTTTTTTCCCCTGGGAATTTTTTCCTCCCCCAGGAATTTTTTTCCCTGGAATTTTCCTCTCCAGGAATTTTTTCCCAGGAATTTTTTCCCAAAGATTTTCCACCAGGAATTTTTTCCCCAGGAATTTTTTCCCCTGGGAATTTTCCCTGGGAATTCCACAAAGGGAAATCCGGGATGGGATCACGGAGGATCCAGGGAAAAGGGAAATGCGGGATACCTGGGATTTGGGATGGGCTTTCCAAGAGTTTTTTTCCATTGGATTTTCTGGGATGGATCCGTCCCATCCAGCACCGAGAATTCCCGAGTTTATCCAGAATTTTCTGGAATTTTCCCCAGAATTTTCCCAGAATTTTCTGGAATTTTTTTTTTCTGGAATTTTCCCCAGAATTTTCCCAGAATTTTCTGGAATTTTTTTTCCTAATTTTCCCAGATTTTTTTCAGGAATTTTCCCCAAAATTTTTCCAGATTTTTCCTGGTAAAATCCAACCCAGGAAGGAAAATCTGGGATGGGGAAATCCAGGATATTTGGGATCAGGATGAGTTTTCCAAGGGTTTTTTTTCCGTTGGATTTTCTGGGATAGATCCATCCCATCTGGCACCGAGAATTCCTGAGTTTTTCCAGAATTTTCTGGATTTTTTTCCAGAATTTTCCCAGAATTTTTTCCAGAATTTTCTGGAATTTTCCCCAGAATTTTCCCAGAATTTTCTGGAATTTTTTTCCTAATTTTCCCAGATTTTTTTCAGGAATTTTCCCTAAATTTTCCCCAAAATTTTCCCAGATTTTTTGGGATGGGGAAATCCAGGATATTTGGGATCAGGATGAGTTTTCCAAGGGTTTTTTTTTTCCCCCCTCCCTTTGGATGCTCCGGGACGGATCCGACCCCGGGAATTCCTGAATTTCCCGGATTTTTCCCAGGAATTCCTGAATTTCCCGGATTTTTCCCAGGAATTCCTGAATTTCCCGGATTTTTCCCGGGAATTCCTGAATTTCCCGGATTTTCCCGGGAATTGTTTTTTGTTTTTCCTGCAGCTCCGTCAGCGACGTCTCTGTGCTGAAGCTGAAGGTGGAGAAATGTTCCCGCCAGGATTCCGTCTTCATGAAGAAGGTTCTGGAAAATCCCGGGAAAAATTCCCAACTTTTCCCAAATTCCCGAGCCTCCAAAGCCGGGAATTCCGGCCTCTCCACGTTTTCCGTGGAATTTCGCCGATTTCTTCCCAAATTCCCGCTTTTCCCGGTTGGAAATTCACGTCCCCACGCGGGAATTTATGGTCCCTAAAAATTCTCAGCCCCAAAGAATTCCCCCCCCAAAAAAACCCCAAAATCCTAAAGAATTCCCAGAAATCCCAAAAAATCCTGTGAAGAATCTCCAAAAAAAATCCCCCAAGAATTCCCAAAAACCCTCAAAATCCCAAAGAATTCCCAAAAATCCCCAAAATCGCCAACAATTCCCAAAGAATTCCCCCAAATCCCCAAGAATCCACAAAAAATCCCCAACAATTCCTAAAAAATCCCCCCCAAGAAATCCCAAATCCCGAAGACTTCCCCAAAATCCTCCAAAAACTCCCCAAGAATTCCCACAAACTCCCCAAAATCCCAAAGAATTCCCCCAAAATCACCAAAAGTTCCCCAAAAATCCCGCTAAAATCCCAAGGAATCCCAAAAAATCCCAAAGAATTCCCAAAAATTACACAAAAATTCCCAAAAATTAAAAAAAATCCCAAAAAATCCTCCAAAATTTTCCATAAAACTCCCAAAAAATCCCCCCCAAAACCCCAAAATTTCCCTCAAAAATATCAGAAAATTAAAAAAAATCCCCCAAAATTCCCAAAAAACCCCAAAATTAAAAAAAAAATCCCCTAAAATTCCCCCCAAAATTCCCAAAATTTCCCCCAAAAATTCCTAAAAAAAACCAAAAAAAATCCCCCCAAAATTCCAAAAATTAAAAAAAAAAATCCAAAAAAATTTTCTAAAAAATCCCAAAAAATGCCAAAAATTCCCCCAAAAAACCCCAAAAAATTCCTTCAAAAAATTCCCCCCAAAATCCCAAAAAAGTCCCCCAAAAAACCCCAAAATTCCCAAAATTAAAAAAAAAAAATCGAAAAAAACCCCCCAAAATTCCCCAAAAATTCCCCAAATTCCCCCAAAAATTAAAAAAAATCCCAAAAAATCCCCAAAAATTCCAAAAAAATTTCCCCAAAACCCCCCCAAAAATACCCCAAAAAATCCCCCAAAATTCCCAAAATTTCCCCCCAAAATTCCTAAAAATATACAAAAAAATACCCCAAAAATTCCTAAAATTCAAAAAAAAATCCCAAAAAATTTTTTAAAAAATCCCAAAAAATCCCAAAAAATGCCAAAAATTCCCCCAAAAAATCCAAAAAAATTCCTTCAAAAAATTCCCCCCCAAAATTCCAAAAACGTCCTCCAAAAATCCCCAAAATTCCCAAAATTAAAAAAAAAAATCGAAAAAACCCCCCCAAATTCCCAAAAATTCCCCAAAAAATTCCCCAAAAATCCCAAAACAATTCCCCAAAAAACCCCAAAATTTCCCAAAAAAATTTCAAAAAATTCCAAAAAAAATCCCCAAAAATTTCAAAAAACCCCCAAAATTTCTCCCCAAAATTCCCAAAATTTCCCCCCAAAATTCCTAAAAATATACAAAAAAATACCCAAAAAATTCCCAAAATTCCTAAAAAAATCCCAAAAAAATCACAAAAAATTTTTTAAAAAATCCCAGAAAATCCCCAAAAAAACCCCAAAAAATCCCAAAAAATTCCCGGAACACCCCCGTAATCCCAAGGAATTTCTGGAATGTTCCCACAGCACGGCCCGCAGCTCTTCCGGCACATTTTCCTGCTCTCCCGGGAAGGGAACCCCCAAAAATCCCCAAGAATTCCCAAAAATTCCCAAAAAAATCCAAAATCCCAAACAATTCCCAAAGAATCCCCCAAAATCCCCCCAAAATTCCTAAGAATTCCTAAAAAAAAATCCCCAAAAATCCCAAAATCCCAAAGAATTCCCCCAAATCCCCAGAAGTTCCCAAAAGTTTTCCTAAAATTCCAAGGAACCTCAAAAAATCTCAAGGAATTCCCAAAAATTATGCAAAAATTCCCCCAAAATTCAAAAAAAACC